TTACACATAGGCATAGCCTGTTCCCCAATCCAAATTGAATGATTAAAAATATTGTTTAAAAAAAAAAAAATATGTATGTCTTGCATTTTTTAAACTTTGGTAGTTGTTTAGGTTGATCGATATCTTTAATATTCGAAATATCGTTCTAATGGTTTTTTACATTACAGTATTGTGGTGTTAATTGTGCTCATTTAAGCATTCTCAGAATTTACCTCAACCTTCCATCACTGTTTATTAGAAATATCCTTGATTCAGAAATACAAAACTTTGCTCGTAATTTCTTATTGATGTATTTCATACATTAAAACAAGAGTTTTATAAAGGGCTATATTTTAGTTAAAATAAGGCAAAAATTTTGAGTAAATTAGGGGACAGCACTACACATAATTACACAAACCAAATCTTCGGACAAGACACAATACGCAGAAATCACAAACAAACGTACACATCAGATTAGGTGAATGGATCCAGGGGCTAGCCGTAAGCATCCTTTGCGCTGTACAGTCCCGGGCCTGTAGTGATACAGACTTCACTCCAAATTGAAAAACAAACAATCGAGAATATAACCCAGAAACATTTTGTAATACTAGTTCGAGTCATCTGCTATATGTCACATGAAATATGAATGTAAGCTTATTGAAGTAAAAAAATAACGATACAAGTAACCATATCGGTGAAATGCATAAAAAAGCCAGGTAGTCTAATAAAACTCAACTAATGGTCGATGTTATAGTGAGAAACATTTTAAGTTTTTAAAAGGATTGAGGTATATTGACTATAAATGAAATGAAATGGAGTTTAACGTCCTACTGTTCTGCTCCTATGCTGGGCTAATGAAGACAGGCATACGTCATACAGTGTGCTATGAGGGACATTTTGCCCGGGCAGCGGCACTATCGCCTACTCTTATATCGAATTCCAACTGCCAAGGGATCTTTTACGTGCATTCTATCCGAAGGACTAGACAGCTGCCCTTGTCAGGCCCCCCGTCCTGCATCACTGAAAAGGGGGAACCACGCCGGAAAATCTGGATGAACTTTCTCGGCCAATGTATATTGACTATAAAGTTACAGCTTATGTTCCATTTACCACAAAAAAAGGGAAAAAAAAAACTGAATACAAAGAAGCAAGCTGAGAAAGTGCAAACCCTCTGCTGACTGAATGGCGTGACGTAAAAGGCGGTAGGTTGCCAAATGACGTGATGAGGTCGTTGGTTCTAATAATATCCATGTAACAATATTTTGACTCTTGACTTTTGACCTTGACCATGACAAAACATGACCTAAAACCTTCAGTAGGTCCTGCTGAATTATTTTGATACTCATAATTATAGTATTTTGTTATAGTGGTATACTAGTGAACCCGCGAACTAGTGGTCCCCTCGCTTATGGACTGCGAGAGGACGAACCTTGGTTTTTTTCAGCAGGAGGCTGAACCCTATTGATTTTCAAATTTGGAGTGAAGCAATGGCAGCGAAGCTTAGGCACCCTGTTGATTTTTAGACTCTTTGGTGCAGAGATATATTGATTTTGGTCAAATGATTTTTTTTCTCCAGACTAAACTAAGTGCATCGCTTTTAAAATTATTTTGTTGTCCGAAAGTATATACAGCCCATGGAATGCTGTGCCATTATTTGTTCCAGTTAGGTAGGGTAATTCCAAATAGATTAGTTAAGAAATGGCGTTTCTGTCCTTTAATGGATCTTAAAACATATATGTATATTCACTGTCTACGCGTTAATACTTTTAAAATAACTGATAAAATCTTAAACAATTCTAACCGTTATCTGGTATTAGACTTTATCCTCTCCACAGTCTACATCGTCTAAATGGGTCGCTAAAATATTGAATTTTCAAAACTAGATAAACATATTATACAAACCTATTTATTTTTACGTGTCAACTTTGGGACTTATTACTTCATCTATTTGATGTGCTTCTCACAATTGATATTATCAATTGGTTGGTGAATGTATAATCTTATCATCATGGTGTTGTAGCTACCCTTGTTGCCTTCTAGCGGCTTCCATTGCACGCATACAGTCTTACTGATTGTCCAAGGTTAACACCAACGGTAAATACAAGAATTGTTTGATAATGTCTGGAACATTTGTAATTGTGATTGATAAAAAGACGAAAACACATTCACTTAACGCTATCATCACTACTTTTTCTTTGGAAATTTGACATATTGAACTACTAGTTGATAAGAAAAACAGAATCGATTTCCGTAAGTAAACGAAAATGACAAATGTTTGGTAAATGCCGATTAAGTCGATCTGTGTAGAATACATTTCCACGTGATGGTTGTAGTCCCGGGGATGAGTTAAGCATTAACTGTTAGTTAATGCCGCTGTTCCGGCAAAATTTCACCCACAACCCACTGTTTGGCGTATGCCCGTCTTCATCAGCCCAGTCGGAGTAGGACGTTAAACCCCATTTCATTTTCATCAGGGTTGGATGGCCGGATGTAGACCAAACGGCATATTATCTATGGATTCAATCCCTTGTTTTTACGTGTAGGATATATGCGCGGATATTGAAACGAACCAAGATCGTTGGGTTGTAAAGATACATTTCATGTTACAGCAAACTCGGATAAAAATTGTGACTTCTAGAGGGTCAACAACCTTGTATTATACATACTTTTACACTATTTGTGTACAAGGAGAGGCCATTTTGTCCGGCAGTTTCGGTCCGATTGTCATGAAATTCGAACTCAACTGACATTATGGTGTAACGGTGATATATTTGAACGTTTGTTTTTCACAAAATATTAAATATTCGAACGCCATTTTAAATTGGGTAATAATTGTGACCTCTGGACGCGATTTTTCTTAAAACCAGGGGCCATAATTCAGGTAGTTACGATCCAATATATGCAAATATCGACAGAAACCAAGATCTTTGGTTTATAAACATGCATTTCAGGTTTCATCAAAATCAGATGAAAATTATGAATAAAAACGTGTTTTTCGTACAATCAGGGGCCATAATCCTTGAAGTTATGGTCCGATACATGCCAATGTTGAAAGGAACCGAGATAGACCTATATTTCATGTTTCGTCAAAAACAAATTGTGGACGGAAGTCAAGACGGACAGGGTGACAGCATAATACGTCCACATCAAAATATAGGCGCATAAAAAAATGCTAGTTAAATCACACTCTTTCATGCGCTAGCCTTTTGTACGTCGTAGCCACTATCCGTTGGTCCGCCTGTCCACAATTGGCTTGCTAACACGATAAGGGCTTTAGTTGTGAACGAATTCTTTTTTTCAGATTTTATCCGATGTTTTTCAAATTGTGTGTGAAACATTGGCACCATGAGATGACAAACACTTTCAATGATCAGCGTTCCGCAACCTTCAAATTTGGTCAACATCCAAGTTTTACTTTCGGATAAGCTACTGTCTAGGGCTATAATTCTTTTTCGAGACATATCAGTGTATGTGTTGGCGTATTTCCACGATTTGCGTGGCTGTCTTATTTAAGGAAACAAGGTGTTAGATGATTGCTGCAGCCAATTAGATAAATGAACATTGGGCATTGCCGTTGGATCTCATTTTCTGACAAATGTGCCTCTAGGGTAAAGACATATAACATTTCAGAATACTTGAAAGAATTACAGCTTCCTGGCCTGTTTAAAGTAATTTTCTTCGAAGAAAGTTGTTAGACATATTTAACTGAATTTTCTCCAAGGACTATTTCTAGAAAAAATTATAAAGGAAATATTATTTACTCATTCTTTGATTTCAACCCACATAGCCCTAAAATAGCAAACTTTTCTCCAAGAGACTAGAAGAATTTTAACAGAAATATCATTTACTCATCTTTGATTTCCACCCACATAGCCCTAAAATAACAAGATGTTTAAAGAATATTTGGAAGTTAAGATTTAAGTGTACTGGTGCGGTTACTACGCTGGGTTAGGGATGCGTTAGCGATGATATGTATACGTTGTCATTTTTTACTTTAGCACGATCCCGTATCTGAAATCAGCTCTTTTATTCCCAGTTATATCAGTCGGTGTTTCTTAGAGAGTGACCATCAGTTAATAAGGGTCAGTATCACTCCCTGTGTCAGTTGTAGCAGTTTTATTTACCTTTGGGAACATTGAATTTGACCCGTCTGATAAGGACCAACATTGAAATAAAATTAACTTATGTTTCAAATACACTCGTTAATAGTTTCAGGTGGGATTCTTAATATATCCATATTCGAATGGCATTGTACATGACAAGTAAAATTTCATGAAGTCTAAAAAAATTTTTGACCCATGTGAAGACATTTTGCTGCCAAGGAAATATTCATTCACCCCCATGAGGAAGGTTATATTCACAATTCCAAACATTTGGATTTTATTGCTACACTATGATGATATGACATTTAAGTTGGAAAATAATTATCGTTACATATTGTTGGTTAAAAGGTGCCATTCGTTTTGAATAAATGGCGGGATGCTTAAATTATGGTACATAGTGCAATGTATATTTTAACTCTAACGAAATCTGAATGTCTTGAAAATATCGCACTTTACGTTTCCGAAATGAATGCAGTTTTGGCCACTGTTCGTTTAAAACCCTTCCAGAAGAATTATTTTGTTGCAGAAGAACCTTTCAATTTTCATTAAATTGTGAAAACGGTCTATTGATAAACATTATCTGTTATTATATCTGATTAAATATAATTACCATGCAAATCAAACTTCTTGTCCTATTAACCAGGTTTTGTAGTTGTTGATTATCAGAAGAAAGAAACACAAGTTTTTGGTTCGTTTTTAAGATAGAACGCATTAAGTCAAGACCTAATCACCGGCTACTTAATGTAGTACAAATTGATGTTGATTTGAATAAGCCGTGGTTTAAATCGAAATCACTTCATGGACGCTGGAATCTTTTGAAAAAGATTAAAAGGGAAAAGAGGGTATAATTAAAAGATGGGAATCGTGTATGTTGTCATGTAAAAGCAGTCATTCATTTACCAAGTTGAAAGACGGACGATGTTTCTCTTGATGGTGACTTGTGTAAACTGCATTGATCAGTAATCGGGTGATTTCTGAGAGTCGGAGAAGACAATTTCCTTTCCACACGTAGCTCCAGATTGCAGGATATATTAGTAAATGTCGAAATACTCGACGAAAATTGATTTGCCAGGATTTGGTCGTAAATTGTGATTTGATGAACTATGGCGATAAGTGACAATTGAGAACGGAAGCACAACTCGGCACCATTGATCCTCGAGACTGTTAGAATGGTCGTCTGCTAAAAACATTCCATTCGATAAATAGACGTCACGCAGATTGGCACCTTTTTCACTTTTGCCTTCTAAATGGTGAAAACGTGTTTTTCAACAAAGGAATTATCTCAGAAACTTGGGAAGTCTCTTAATTCTTAGACAGAACACACGCGTAAGATTATTCTTTAATTAAGGTAAGCCGGTTCTATTTACTTCAAACACGTTTTAAAAGACATAAATGTTATGCCTTCAGATTTAACAATTTTATCCGCTCATCTTAGAAGAAAGCGAGACTTGAAAAAGATTTTAGTAGAAAAAATGTTACAAGACATCCTAGTACCAGTGTGCATGGCTATTGGAGCTTAATATGTGTAAAAGATAAGGAGGTGTGCTTACCTTATCGAGAACACCCGGTACCGCGTTTTCTTTAAGTGAAAAGCGCACATTGCTAACGCGTTTTGTCAAGGACTAATAACATCATGTTAACGATAATACGAGCCTAAAATATATTGACTTTTTCATTTAGAACACACAAAAATTGACTAATTTTATAGAAATATCGACTATTTGAGTAAATAGTCGAATTATATATTAGAAGAAAGCTAATTATGAACGAACAAAAATAAAAGTATGGTCTGTGATGATAAAACAATGCTTAACAGAATACTGGTTAGAAAATGAAATGAAACGTTATTTTATCTCCTAGTGTTCTGTACCGACTTCGCTAAAGAGTGTGCCATGAGATAATGTTGCCCGTACTGCTTAATTTATTTCGAATTCCAACTGGCATTGGTTCTTTTACGTGCACACTAATGTATACTCATGACCTCGGTATTTTGTCCCATCCGAATGACTTGGCACTGTTGGTTGCTAGGCCCTCCTTTACTGAGTCGGGGGCACGGTGCCTAAGTGGGTAAGACGCTGGCTCGCTAGCTTGAAGGTCGGGTGTTCGATCCCTGCATTGGCCGAGTAAGTTCACCCAGATTTTCGGTGTGGTTCCCCTTGTCAGTGATGCAGGATGGAGGGCCTGACAAGGACAGCTCTCTAGTCGTTTGGATGGGACGAAAAACCGAGGTCCCGTGTAAACATTGGCGTGCACGTAAAAGATTCCTTGACAGTAGGAATTCGATATAAGAGTAGGCCGTAGTTCCGCTGTCCCGGCAAAATTTCCCTCATCGCACACTGTATTGCGTATGCCCGTCTTCATTAGCCCAGTTCGGAGCAGAACAGTAGGACGTTAAACTCCATTTCATTTCATTTCATTTTCTTTACTTCCTTCAGCGGGAATAATGCCTTAAACAATCGAATGTCGTTGGAATAATACACTACGCACATCAATTGGGCAATTTATAGATAACCCCTTCTTTGAAAACTGAACTATTCGGACGCAGTAGCTTTTATAACCCAAAACATTATTACATAATTATTATTGTAATATTCGGAAGTATGTTACAACGAAGCACAATCACTACAAAATAGTAATTGCCATGTAACTGGTATTTTAAACACTACCATTATATAGAGACGGTTATCTTCTCATATAGAATAGAAATAGTCGAATTACAGACAGAAAATATGTTATGAATGTCGTTAAAGCGTGAAACATAAAAGACAGCAGAAGATAATTGGATTAAGACAGAATGGGGACACATGTAAATCACAACATAAAAGATTTTATATTTCCAATTTCGAGGGAAAAAAGCACATTTACAATATATAATCACTTTAAGATAAAAAAAAAGAATCTTACAAATCGAATAGTGAATTTCTGTATATTTTGTCCAGCTTCACGAGAATAAGGGAATGCTAATTTAATTTTTTGATAATTTCCCATAAATAATTGATGTTTTTGTTCATCTTCGCACAACTGGGTTTCTACGTCAATGTTGTCCTTAGCTTAAGTTCACTGACATATTTAATACTATACAATAATGTCCATTTTGTTGGGTGTAAAATGCACAAAATAATTTAGCCCAGGACAATGGTGTTCCTGATTACTATTCCTATAGTACTATGGACCTTGGTAGATGTTGTTACACCAAGAAAGGTTTACCTCGAATTGTCTCTTTTAAATTCCCAACTTACGACCACCTGAAATCAATTTAAAATATGATTGAATACGTGTATATGCGTTCAATTATTTTAAAATAGGCGGAGCTTTTATACATTTAGCAACCCACCTCATCGTTCCGTCATAATAAAAAATAATGTCGATCACAAAATGAACTTAAAGAGAAAGTTCTAGATGTATTGTAGTCAATAATACTAGTCAATTCCGATGGCGACCGTTTCTGAGTCTGTCAACGGTCTAAGAAATTCCCCCATTTGCTCTATTTCAAGTAAATAGAGAACCGTTATGTCGACCTTACGGGCATTACTCCTGGGATGTACCACTTGCTTAAGTCGAACAGCAACAATCAAAACAAGCCAATATGGAGGCTTTCTGCACTCTCCATCAGTTAGAATCAAAGTTATCTTGTCCCTAAGCATCGACCAAAGAAATTGCTTAGCTTTAGTGGTAAATTTTAATCTTTGAACTCAGTCAAGACATTCACCTAATGAACACCTACACCAAGCTTTTACATTCTACCGCAATTAAAAGCAGTTGTTATGCCCCAAAGTCTTGACCAATCCAATTGCTTATCGCTACTTGGCCTAAGCAGGAAATTCTCATCATCGAACTTAGTCAAGGTATTGGTATACCGATAATGAATCTATACTCTTGAGTTTCATTACTCCCACCCGATTAGAACCAAATTTATCGTGTTACAAAGTCTCAGCCAATACAATTGCTGATCTCTGCTTAGCTTTAATGGAAAATACACACGCTAGAACACTGTCAATGTATTCACCTTATAACACCTACACCTAAGTTAGAACATTCTACCTCAATTAGAAGGAGAGTTATTGTGTTCCAAAATCTCGACCAATCAGATTGAAGTATATACTAAGCCTATTAGAAAATGCTCATCATCGAATTTAGTCAAGGTATTGATGTAATTAAACTATAAACGAAGTTTCACCATTCTCACTCAATAAGAATCAAAGTTATCGAGCTCCAAAGTCTCAAACAATCAAATGATCATTATCAAACCTCGTCAAGGTATTGATATAATAATGAAACTATACACCAAGTTTTATCACTCTCACTTAAAGTAGCCAAGTCTCTAACTCAATATCACCCAAAGTCTTCCACATTGAAAACACGAAGTATTTGTCAATTTAAATCAACATTGATGTTGTGATTTTACCAGAAAAATATGGGCTTCTGATATCCAATATTTAAGACAAAATAAACAGTTTACTATTGGTACACGATTTGTGTACCATAACGCTTTTCAGCGCCATCTGTAACAAGGGACTCGAAGAATGAGGCTAGACATATTCCACATGTCATGTCAAATTGTAACCCTATATTCTTATCTGAAGAGCATGCGCAATAAATACTATCCGTGTAGACTGGAATAACCAGACGCTAGGGATTGCCATTCGATTGAGACTTCTGGCGTATTTCGCCGAACATAACTGATTAGAAATTATGGTAAAACAGAAACGATTGAATGTAAATCAGTTTATATACATTCACATTACATTGTTATATGCGTTGCGACCCATTTTTATCAATTTCTAGGTCCCAAATATTAGCGTATGCCAAAGCATAAACTAATCAAATTGCTTGTCCCTGCTTAGCCTACGCAGAAAATGCTCATCTTCCAATTCCGCCAAGGCATGCATCGAAAAAACACCTAAACTAAGTTTGAACATTATAGCTTAATTGGGAGAGTTATTATGTTCCAAAAAGTCCCCTGCTTTCTTCGCAGATAAAGAGATATCTGTATATTCTGATACTTTTTGGATATCAAGCCGATTCTAATTGTAGATTGGAGAAATATAGACTTATCGGTAGCGTTTTACAAAACCTCGCTTGTAGATAAAGAAATAATTACTTAGTGTTCAAGATTTAACCATGCAGTTTGCGTCTGGAATGATCAAAGTTGGGCATAACTTAAGGGTATTGGGTGAGTAATAGTGTAAACGGCTATTTCAAATGTAATATTTTTCAAAATGTATTTTTCCTTGTCAGGGTGAGACTGTCCCTTTAATATAGTGTATGCGAATGCATCTTAATCAATATTTTTTTGATTTCTCAATCAATAAAAAAAACTTGAATATTTGAAGAATATTAGACTGAAAAGGCGGAAAAACAGAATGTAAGAGGCTTATACTTTTTAACCTAGGGTTTCCTTTAAACACATACTTTTCCAATCTTATGAAAAAAGGCAATCTTTAAGAAAGTTCTAATATCTATTCGGTCAAAAAGTTCTTGTAACAGTAAAAAAGGATACAATATTACAAGTAATAATTTTGATTGGCTGGGTTTTTCTTTAGCTATTTGAGATAAGTTCAAATTGGGTTTAACATCAAATTAACAGACAATACAACTTAGTCATTTGGGACTAAGATATGGTAGTTATTTTGTTCAATTTATTGAAATCAGCCGTGGGTTCGTTTTGCCAAAACCGTCAAATGCCATTTTGATTTAGATTGAAGGTTTCGTTTAAAAGCAGTTCTTGGTCATTTTGTCTCTTTAAACTTGATCTGGATTTACAGGGAACTAAAATAGAAATGAATTATAATTTCAACAATTTTCTCGATATTAAAAGAGCGATATGGAGAAAAATACAAGATATTCTGGATTTCGAAATGTTTTTTTTAAATATCCAAACATGGAGAGGCTACTGTGAATCCCCCAAAATGTATTTAAGTTTAAAGGTCGATATATCGACTAAATGTAATTAGAATAGATAAGTTTGAGATGTAATAACTTAGACATATTATATTTTTAAGCCTAAAGGGATAATAATATGCCAGAATAAAAATATAGACATAATCAATTTATTCAATTCGACCAATTATAAGTAACCGCATGCCACTATGTGTCGGGGCACTAGTGATTTAACCCGTTTCCGTGACGTGTAAATCGTGCTTGTTAATTTATCGACTTTTGACATATTCCACATTTTCTACAAAACCGCTCATTCAGATTTGCTCAAATGACGTTGGTTGGCCTCTTAAATGTTCAGATATTATTATGGATCCTGTACATTATTACATGTAGATCCATGGTATAAGAAACTCGTAATTCAAAATCTCTTCTACCCTTAGATAGATTGAGATTGGATTTAACGTCTTA